GAACCCCTGTCCAATACCCTTTATTGGTGTATAGAAATGACTGATGGGGTTGAAAAGGACTTTAGATGCCAGTGACAGTAAGACAGGAACACAGCATTTTGTTCATAATTTCAGGCATTCACAACATTTACTAACTCATTTTTTTATTGTTTGTTTTCCAGTTGGCACTTGGCAGGATGGTAAGATATGATTTCTTCCTTTACCATGAAGTCATGCCAGTATTCTTGATTCAACCATCACAATTAAATAACAATGTTCCAGTCTATAACTGATTGATGATATATACAACAGTAGACCCATATGAGTATAATGGAACTGGAAAGTTTCCATCACCTGGTATTTTACTGTATCTTCCCTGTGTGTACATATACAGATACTTACCATTGTGTTGTGATGGCCTGTTCAGTATAATTACGTGCTGCAGAGGTTTTTAGACTAGGCACCACACTCTACAGTTATAGCCTAAGAGAACAGTGGACAATACACTGCACTACATAGTCTAGTGAACAATGGACTCTGATATCTAGGTTTGTGTTCATGTGTACAATGACATTCATGCAATGACCAAGTCACTTAAGAATGCATTTCTCAGAACCAACTGTATTTACAGTACAGTTTTGTCAAGGCTTCACATAGAAATTCCACAGGCAACAACTTTGCCTCATAGATGTATCCCAGTTTAGGGAACAAAGAGCCTGCAGAAAATGATGAACAACTTAAAATTGTTAATAAGTTTATAGTAGAGCTGGGAAGGTGACCCAGTTGGAAAAATCTTTGCCTGACAATAATGAGGACCTGAGTTAAATTTCCAAAACACACACATAAAAAAAAAAAAAGACAAGCACAATCCAAGCATTGGGGAGGCAGAGACAGGAAGATCCCTGGGGCTCACTGGTGGGACAGTCTAGCCAAGTCATCAAGCTCCAGGTTCAGTGAGACACCTTGTCTCAAAAAATGAGATGAAACACTATTGCAGAAGGCATCTGATGCCTGACTACACACACACACACACACAGCCACATACACACACACACACACACACACACAGCCACATAGATGCACAGACACACACACACACACACACACACATGCTTACATGCACAGGAACACTAACATACATATATACACAAAAAGTTAAAAGTACCAATGGTTTTTCCTGTTTGATATGAGCTTGGTAGAGGCTGAGAGGCTGGCCAGAATGCCTGTATAGGGTGACCCTGCTTAAGTTTTGGGGTAGCATTCACAACCATGTGCTTGAGTAGTCTGAATGTGGGTGTCTATGTGTACACAGCTTGAACTTTACTTTCTCAGTCAGAGCAGTAGAGTCAAGACTGTCCCAATCCGTGAAGCCTCTCTGTTTAGTTAGCGCCTCCAAATTGAGAAAAGCAATATTGTATTCAATAGCAACAACTCTGCCAGGCTCCTTCTCCTACAATGTATAAACAGTGTCCACTGCAGCCATTTTGTGCATAGCCACGGGATACAGAATGTAGCATGTAAGACTTCAAACAGCTTGTCGTATACAGCCAAAGAAACTTCAAGACTGAGGGGAGGGCACTAACCCACAGGAGTGGGATGGGTCTCAGTCGCTGATAAGAATATAACTAACATCTCTTCTTGCTTCCCTTTCAGATACCGAGAACCCTGGTAAGAGATTCACTCTATACAACCTCTTCTCAGATGTGGAACAATCTAATCAGACGACAACCATGGGCGTAGTAGTAACAATGGGAACCAGAGCTACTAGAGGGACACTGGGGTTACCTGTCTGAGATGTGCCTGGTTCGGCCACTAGCTTCCATGTCTGGTTAGAGCTATGCATGTATGCTTCCCTAAGCATACTTCTGGGGAAAGGTGTACCGGTGGTTGTGGGTCAGATAGCCTTCCATTTGTTTTTGTGTGAACCAGAAGTTACTTGGGGGCCAAGACAGAATTTCATTTACCTGTTCTTGGTGCCAGGCCCGAAGTGGGTGCTTAATGAAGTGTTTGAGTGAATAAATGAGCAGAATATTAATATTCTAAGCATACTTCTGGGGAAAGGTGTACCGGTGGTTGTGGGTCAGATAGCCCTCTATTTGTTTTTGTGTGAACCGGAAGTTACTTGGGGGCCAAGACAGAATTTCATTTACCTGTCCTTGGTGCCAGGCCCGCAGTGGGTGCTTAATGAAGTGTTTGAGTGAATAAATGAGCAGAGTATTAATATTTTGCTAGTTATTTGTCCTCGAGAAGTCAATTGTCTTTAAGAGACACCATTTTTGATGTTACAGTGTGCTGCATGCAATGCGTAGATGCAGAGAAAAAAAAATGAGGAATGAAAAGAATGGCAAACTCTGCAAAGTATAGCTGAGGATGGCTCCAGCGGGGAGGTGGTTCTTGAGCTGGGTTTTAGAAGGTTTCACTTGTACTTTAGGGGCAGAGGAGACAAAAATCTAACCCTGAGACTCGATGGCCATGTTTGAATCCTGATTCAGTTCCTGTTTATGTTAAAGGTTTCACTTGTACTTTAGGGGCAGAGGAGACAAAAATCTAACCCTGAGACTCGATGGCCATGTTTGAATCCTGATTCAGTTCCTGTTTGGGTGTTAATGGATCACTTCTTAGTATCTCTGCCATCTGATCCCTGTGTATAACATGGAAACAGCCTGTGGCATTGATGTGAGGACTTAGCGATTGATTCATTTAAGACAATTACAACAGCGCCTGCCAGACAGAAGTCAGTAAGTGGCATTTAGCTGGGGGTAGGGTGGTAGAGCGATGCCTCTGCAGTTAAGACCACTTGATGCTCTATCAGAGGACCAAAGTTCTGTTCCCAGCATCCAGTTCCAGGGAATCCTCCCTCCTCTTCTGGCCTCTGTGAGCACCCGCACATACGTATGCATACTAATAAGCAAGCATACACATACATAAAATGTTTCTTTTAAATCTTTTTAAAAGAAATTAAATGAGTGTGGTGGCGCACACCTTCAATCCCAGCACTCTGGAGGCAAAGGCAGGTGGAGCTCTGTGAGTTGGAAGCCAGCCTAGTCTACACAGCAAGTTCCAGGTCAGCCAAGGCTACATACATAGTGAGACCCTGTCTCAGGGAAAGAGGGGTTGGGGAGACATAAATCTTGGAAGTACAGACAGAGACAGACCTGGTTAGTACTTGAATAGAAGAAGAAATATTAAAGTTTGTTGAGCATATATGTTCTAGCTGTTGCCCTGGGCAAGGGGGAAAGGCTTAGAAATAAATAGTCCAACCAATGAGGGATAAACAATTTATAGGAAACTAAATTTCTTGTCCAGTGTGAAATGCCATGGATGTGGGTAAAAAATGGATGTGTACAAATTGTTTGTGAACCTATTTGTTTCTAAATATGGACATCCCAACCCTTGTAAATCAACACTCTGATGTTGAATTTGGACCAATAAGATTGTAAGCAATTTTTACATGTTTTCAGACAAACCTCCTAAACGTAGTATAATGTCTGTTTACTTTTAGTTTATTTTATTTATGATTTCTGACTCACATAAACTTTCTAGGAAACAGCAATGGCAAAACTTAATATTAATATTAAGTCAGAGAAATCCTCTGTTATGATTGTACCCAGCTCCCAGCTGCTGGCTGGCTGAGTGGGCCAAGTGAAATCCCAGCCAGAAGGCTGTTGAGCAGCTGGGTGGAAGCTCAGCTGTTCTCCATGGTAGCAGGATCCCAGGAAGGGAGGGAGGAAAGACAGCAGCATTTTCCATGAGCATCTGCTGTGTTCACCCACTTTCACTCCAGGATTCTTTTGATTCTCTCAAATACCCTCTGAAGTGGCCATATTACCTCCATTTCCCTGATAAACAGACTTGAGGCCAGAGCTATAGTTCATGCCTATAATCCCTACACTCGAGAGACTGAGGCAGGAAGGTTGAAAAAGTGAGGCCAAACCAGGTGACATAGCAAGACTGTGTCTTAAATAATAAAAACTTTTAAAAAAAGAAAAAAACCTGAGGCTCAGAGAGGTTAAGCGACTTGTTCCTGCTCACACAGCCTAGTCACCCATGTCTTCCCCCAGGAACAAGCTGTGTCTGAGCACTAGCCAGCACCATTTTCTCTCTTCCAGCTCATATTCTGTCATGTGAGGCTCTGGTATATCCCAGTAGTGTCCAGGATCCAGCCACAAGTCTTCCAGAAGGACTGCCGGCTGGCCCACCTCTTAGGGCAACGATACCTGATATAGGGAGTGTGGTTTTTATGAGTGGATTTCTGTTGCCCACAGCTGTGGCTCCTCCCTTCAACCAAATAATGGAGAATTCATTATACTCAGAGATAATGTAAGGCCAGGTCACTCCTTATAGGAAAAGCCATTCTTTTAATATGCAGAGTGCTTCGGGTCATTCAGGGCCAATATGAAGGAAAGCATATTGAGTAAGACATTGAATCTGATTACAAGCAGCTTCATTGGCTGCTTTAAGGATTGACATCAGAGGCTGAGAATGTGGCTTAGTGGGCAGAGTGCCTGCCTGGCATGCACAAAACCCTGTGTTCAATCCCAGCACCACATTTATGGGCGATGTGGCATGTACCTGGAATCCCAGGAGTTAGAGGCAGGAGGATCAGAAGCTGAAGATCACCCTCAGCTTCATAGCAAATATGAGACCAGCCTTGACCGCCTGAGGTTTATCTCAAAACAAAAAGAAAAATCATGGGAAATAGATGATCTGTGACTCAAAGGCTTGAAGGTCTTTATCTCAAAGATACTGTGACAGCTATCTGGAAGATGATTCTGGCTGAAGGAGAACAGCCCAAGAGGTTTCCGTCTTATGACTCTAACACTATAGTTGCCATAGTTCTGGCTTGGGAGCACATGCCCCTGTATTTTGAATGTGAAGTGTCTGGATTATGCACGAGCATATTTGGGGGGCTTAATTCAGACCTTATCTCTGGAACTTATAGTTCTTGGGTTGTTGGTACCCACTCCCACTGGAAATTTTTACCTCAAATGGAAGCATAAAGCAGGATTATTTTCTTACTATCTTTTCCTTTTTTTCATTTGCAGATAATGAGGCACAGAAAGGTGAGTGTACAGAGCTTTGTTTTCACCTCATCAGAATATACAGACCATGGGTGGAAGGGGGGAGACAGATCGAGGGAGATCAGCCCCAAGAACTGAGAGCCTCCTGCTACATTCCCAACATCTATTTTAGAAAGATATCAGCTGAGGACTTTTGTGGGCTTTTCTTTACTTCCACCTTCCCAGTTCCAACTCCCTATGCTGTGTCCACACTCTAAAGCCACCTTCCAGAAGGTTCTCTGCCCTTCCATCCTTACACACAACCTTACCCCTCCCCAATTTCTCTAGTCAGAACACCTCCTTCTTCGAAGCAAACCTCAACCCTAGTGATGAAAGATCTCCTGTGCCTGGATGCCTCTTACAGAACCGATTTGCCATTTGTGAAATTTTTTGATTTCCCCTCTGACCTCCGTCCCTTTTCTCCTTTCCCTCAGATTATACAGTCTCCATCTCAGGAACCAGGATAGAACTGACATGCCCTGTGGATGGTGAGATAAATTGGGAAAAAAATGACAAAGTATTGTCTGAAGAGAATGACAAACTTCTGGTGCTAGAGAATTTTTCGGAAGTTGAGGACAGTGGCTACTACGCCTGCTACTTAAAGGACTCACCGAAGAACACATACCTCTATCTGAAAGCAAGAGGTAACTTGGGCTCAGAATTCCCCAAACAGCTTTCTCAAGAATTCCCCAAACCAGCCATGTCCCTGTCATCTCAAAGTTCCTCCTGCACTCTCCCTGGCTCTCTGAGGACACACAGTATCAGTATTTTCTGAAAAACAGATTAAACAGTGGCTTGGGATTGTCTGGGTCACTTCAGTTGGTACCAGGTATAAAATAACAAGTTCCCCCAGAGGTGGGCTTGGGTCATACTTGCCTTGTAACATACTCAGAATCAAGGTTTACCAGCATCAGAGACGTGTTTCATTAGGAGTACTTGCAAAGAGACTCAATGCCACTACCTAAAAGTCCTAAGCCAAGGCATCACAATAGAGCTGCATTTGTTGAGTACTGTATTTGGTTTTGGGGGGATTTTGTTATTGCTTAATTTGTTTTTGCTTGTTTGTTTTTGTTTTTAATTTTCATTTTTCCAGGACAGGGTTTCTTTGTGTTGCCCTGGAACTCACTCTGTAGACCAGACTGACCTCCAACTTACAGAGATCTGCCTGCCTGTCTCTGCCTCCCAAGTGCTAGGATTAAAGACATGTGCTACCACTACCCAGCTAAGTAGTGCGTTTGGAATCCTTCCGCATGCCTCAATTATCCAAGGGCCTGGGGCACACTAGGCAATCCCTATACCACTGAACTCCACCCCCAAGATTCATACCTTTCCTGCCATTCCCCATATCAGCCATATTGGTCAAGCACATTTTTTATTTCCATTTGTTGATGAGAAAACAGAGTGGGCTGAAAATCCCCACAACCAATAAGTCATGGAGCTGAGAATGACTCCAGAGCCTCTGACCATAATCACCCATGTTGCTTGCCATTCGCACTGGACTCTATTGCAGGCAGGGGTCTGGTGCTAACAGGCATGCAGGCATTATGGAAGACTTGTCTTCATTTGTTCCTCTTCTCCCACTTCCTGGTGCTTTCCTTTTTGGATCATTTCTCTCCTTCCCTCCTCCCTGCCCCTGAAGTGTGTGAGAACTGTGTGGAGGTGGACCTGACTGCAGTAGCCATAATCATCGTCGTTGACATCTGCATCACTCTGGGCTTGCTGATGGTTGTTTATTACTGGAGCAAGAATAGGAAGGCCAAGGCCAAGCCAGTGACCCGAGGAACCGGTGCTGGTGGCAGGCCCAGAGGTAAGACCATAGAGCAGGGTCGGGAAGATTTGGCCCCGGTCAGGATGGGCAGCAAGTCTACAGCAGAGTCCAAGCAGCTTCTCTAGAACATTCTCTGTGATACTGAGATCGCTATAGAGGGCTTCCCATTCAAGATCATTCCTCTCCTTCCACCCTAAAAAACTCTGAAAACCAACACTAACCAACAATGCAGCAGGCTTCCTCAGATGCCTGGCAGTACTCTACAGGAAGCGAATTCGAGACGCAAGCTGTGGACAGAGAGATGGCAGGATGTTAGTTCCCACCTCTTCCCCTCAGTTCCCCCTGCAGAGAGAATGGGAGGACCTGAGCTAGAGCAAAGTCACATGAGAACATTGTGGGAGGCCTTAGGGATGGGGTGAAGGAAACAAAAGAGGAAGGGTGGCTGGATGGAAAAAGGAGATTAGCAGAAAGGACGGAGAGGACTGCCCTCCCTTGGGTTGGATCCCCTAGCAGCCATCTTCACGGCAAGACTAGTGTTCAACATGGAAACAATATTTCTCCCCTCCCTCCTCTGCAGGGCAAAACAAGGAGCGGCCACCACCTGTGCCCAACCCAGACTATGAGGTAATGGGATACAGTGGGCGGTGGCAGTGGGGGTGGGGGGGGGAGATTAGAGGGGACTACTAGAGAGAAGAAGGCTGGGTGGGACTGTCCATCTTATCTGCCAGACGCTGCTCCCAGGACAGGCTACCCCTGTGCCTTCTCTGCCTTCTTCATGTTACATAGGACTATTTCAAAGGCTGTTCAGCCTCCACAACTGTGTAGAGGCAGAGGACTAGAGGAAGGGAGACATGCCTCTTTCTCTCACTTGGTTGACTGAGATTCGACCATGGAGGAGGACACCACTGATACAAATGCTAACCTGATAAGAATGGTGAGAATGATGTCCCAGCAGACGCCCGTGCAGGCAACCAATCATTAAAATAGGGCAGTGCTTGATTAGTAAATAGACCTGGTTTTCCTCTGTCATGCCCACTCACGTGCACACGCACACACCGTGCACATGCACACACCACACATACACATACACACATGCACACACATGCACACAACACACACAAACATGCACACACCACACAATGTACACACCACACACACACACACACACACACACACACACCACAGGTATGCATAGTCAAGCACCGCAGCTCCTCCTCACCAGGCTGCCATTTGATTTCAAAACTGAAGAGTTAATACCTGGCACCAGGAGTGCCTTCGTTGTGACTGCCACAAACAATGCTTAAAGATTTTTGCTATCATACTGAACAAATTGAACAAAATTTGAGCACCAAGAATGGGGTGTTTAGTGCTCCCTCAGTAACTCCAGTTAACCTTGACACAAGTGCTAAAGGCAAGTCTTTACAATCTTCCTTACTGGGCTAGGGAAGCTGGGGCTTCCAGAAGGAAGTAGCTGGCTCAAATCTGTGCCAAGTTATGACTGGACTCTCCCTGCACTACAGCCAACACCCCAATGCCTTTCTTCCTTCATACCTCCTTCCTCCCACCCTTCTAACCCCCATTCTTGTTCTGTCCTTAGCCCATCCGCAAAGGTCAGCGGGACCTGTATTCTGGCCTGAATCAGAGAGCAGTCTGACAGATAAGAAGGACACTGCCTTCCATGGACCCAAATCCAGCCCTCTGCACACCCTGCTAATCTTTGTTCTCTGGACAAACTGTGGACCCCACAGGATTGTTCTTCAGCCACCTGGTGAACAAACATCTTGGAACCTTGCCTCTGCTTCCTCTCCTGCTGCCTCTGCTAGTATCCAGTATTGGGACATTGCTGCCTCAATATCCTCTGAGACATGGATGGTCAGACTGTCAGCCAGCCATCATGTCAGGAAGCTTAGTCAGCCACTCATCCCTGCCAGCTCCTTCTTTCTGCACCGATGTTATCTTTGCCATCAATCCCTTCCTTTCCCTGCATATAAATAGGCCCTCTTCCCCAGCCCTCTCCTATAGCTTTCTGGTTTTCCAACTATGTGTTTTATACCTTTCTCTGAGGCTGGGCTCAGTGACCATGGCAGAGGTCCTGGCCCAGCACCTGCCATGAGCTCCTCTCCAGGTTTCATCTTAAATCCTTGGATAGTCATCTGCATCTCCACGAACATACCAGACTCCTCTCTGCTAATGGGAAAGCAATAAAGTGTATTGGCTACAAAAGTTACTGTTCCTTTTTTCTGGAAGGTCCTCAGAGGCAGCCCGTGTCCTAAGGCAATTCAGACTCTCCCTGGGGACTCAATGCAGCTCTTGCCTATTCGAGGGGGGTGGGCACTAGCAGCCCTCCCATGTATCAAATCATCAAAGGTGATGAGTGAGAGGTGGTCCCTGATGGAGTGGTCGCTCCATAAAATGAATAAGACAGATGGGACCTGAAAGGCAGGTGGAGATACCAGAAAAGAAGGGAGGGTGCAGAGGGAGTTGGGCTGAGACAAGGGCTTCCACCAGCTGCCAGGAAACACTGCTGAACAGAGCAGAGAAAAGTAAAGAGCCTCACAGCACAGCTCAGCTCGCTCCTGCCCTGGAGCCAGCTGCCTAACGCCCCAGATGGTGGTGGTTATGCAGCAGGATGTGGGCTGTGCTGGGAGTGAGGGTGAGAGAGGTGCAGAGGCTGTCTGAGACCAGACATTGGAGGCCTGTGGTGAGAGGGTTTGGTTCTCAGTCTCCCACACACTCTGCTTGCAGGAGAGAGGAATCCAGAGCCCAAGCAAGCTGTCCTAAGCCAGCTGAAACCAACAGACTCTCTGCTCTCCTCTTCTGCCCTCAGACACATCCCTGCAACTTCAGGACCACTCGTTACATGATGTCTGGCTTCTGTGACTAGCAGCCCTCCACATACTGTTCACACTGAGCCTCACACTTGTAGCTACAGCTACTATTTGTTGGTCTCCACCGATATGCCACTTTTTTCTCTCTAGGCATCAAGTTTATGTTAAAAGGAGCTTTGGTGATTTTGCCCATCACTAACAGCTAATAAGCAGGCTGGCCTAGGGGTGGCAGGTAGTGTCCAGTCATAGACATTCGTAGCTCAGCATGGCAAAAGCATTAACAGTTGGTGTTTACTGAGTATTTACTATGCCTCAGAAATTGTTATTAGCCCTGTATGTGTTCTGTCACTTAATCCTCATAGAGACTCCGCAAGAGAGATATTTTCATATTCCATCTATAGCAGGCTCAGAGAGGTTAAGTCATTTGTCCTCAGACTCACAGAGATCCTCGTGCCTCTGCCTCCTCAGTGCTGGGATTAAAAATGTGCACTGCCAGCTGTATGGTGGTGGTGCACACCTTTAGTCCCAGCACTCAGGTGCCAGAAGCAGATGGATCTCTGAGTCTGAGGCCAGCATGGTCTACAGAGTGAGTTCCAGGACAGCTGGAGCTACACAGAGAAACTCTGTCTTGAAAAACAAAAAAGTGTGCACTAATGTGCCCTAATTCTAACTCCAGCACCCTGACACACACTCAACATGACTGTGACCATAAGCGATGCTATTTCTCTTCCTATTTGTCTCTGGAAAGATGGAGGAGATGGAGATGGAGCTGAAATCCAGAGTCCTTCTTCTACCTGGGATGGAGGCAGATTCTGTGTCAAGGAAGAGAGTATGTCATAGCTTTTGCTCTAAATAGAACAACAGTTTATTTTAGAGCTTGTAAGATAGCTCAGCAGGTAAAGGTGCTTGCCACCAAGCCTGAAGACCTGAATTTGATCCCCAGAACATAGGTGGTAAAAGGAGAAACCCAGCTCACATAAATTGTCCACTCACTGTTATTCCTACTGGGTGAGAAAAGATCACTACCATAAAATTTGAGACAAATTTGAAGCAAGTTTTACTAAATACTAACCAGGTCCATGGATACTGGCCAGGTCTATACCTGGGATTATACAGCCCAACATTACATTAGTCAAGGGCTTATAAAGGCAAAACCCACAAGGATACAGACTTCCCACCTTCACCTAATCAAGGGCAAGCATACATCCTGACACACTTCCTGCCTGTGTACCTCCCACTTACATGTGATCAAGCTTAGCCTGTGCAGTTGGGCAATCAAGCTTGTTTACAGAAGCAAAAACACAGGGCTAGTTATCTTAGGTGAACAACATCCCCCAGCATTCCAGGAAGTTATCTGAAAATTGGGCAAGTGGGACTTACAGATTAGAGGCGTTTTTGTTTTATAGATATCTTAAGCATAGCAATTTAAACTTAAAAATATAACGTTAGCTCTCACATTCCCTGCTTGAGCTGTATCCTGAGTCAAATCCTTGACTCTCTGGTAGGTATTTGGTCATATTAGAATTTTTAACCATCAGCTTAATGGCATCCAGATGGGCATTTATGTATCTAGTTGTCTTAGTTAGGGTTTCTTTACTACAAAGAGACACCATGACCATGGTAACTCTTATTAAAGAAGACATTTAATGAGGCTTGTTTGCAGTTTCAGAAGTTTAGTACATTATCATCATGATGGGAATCATGGTGGCATGCAGGCAGACATGGTGCTGGAGAAGGACCTGAGGGTTCTGCATCTTGACCCACAGGCAACAGGAAGTGAACTGTATTCCACACTGAGCATAGCTTGAGCAAAGGAGACCTCAAAGCCCAGACCCACATTGACACACTTCCTCCAACAAGGTCACACCTCCAAATAGTGCCACTGCCTTTGGGGGCCATTTTCTTTCAAACCACCACACTCGTTAAGGCATTAATGATGCAAGGTTATTAGCAATTAGCAGAACCTCTTCTGCAATGGCTAACATCAGAGTTACTATCTAGGAGAAGCCCAAAACTGAGAATGGGAACTAGTCATTTAACTCATCTTGAGTCATTTTTTTCTGCAATTTTCTTTTAATACAGCCAGATTACCTCTAATGATTCCCAAATGGTTTGTGTAGAAACAATTTTTTTCTTTCTTTCTTTTTGGATTTTCGAGACAAGGTTTCTCTTTGTAGCTTTAGAGCCTATCCTGGCACTTGCTCTGAAGCTCAGGCTGGCCTTGAACTCACAGAGATCCACCTGCCTCTGTCTCCCAAGTGCTGGGATTAAAGGCGTGTGCCACCAACACCTGGCAAAAAATTTTTTCTTGAAGACATACAATAACCTTATTTTACATACAGCAGGTCGAGTGCCCTATCATATTGTGGAACTATTTCAGCTAATTAATCTTTCTGTTGATAGATCTGGGTCTATTTGGTTTTATCAGGTACCTTTCCTGGTATGCCATTAGGCACTATAGGTAGTCATTTGTCCCTATGCCAGGGAGTTTTCTTTTGACTCCAGCCCTTTATAGAGGATAAGGGGTGACACTCTTCCTGCTGATTAGGACATCATTGTCAGGGCCCAGGACGTCTGGAATGCTAGTCAAAGGCTGGGTGGGGATTCAGGTAATGGGACATTCACCATCAGAAGCATCTGGTTCACTGACCCAGCTGAAGAGACAGGGAGCAATCACATGGGCTGGACTGGTCTACATCAGCTTTCAGCAAGTCCAGAGTTCACAGCCATTTGGAGTAACTTGTGGTTCACAGCTGATTCTGGATGGTGTCTGTCAGCTCAGCCGAGTGGAAATCTGCTGGGACAGATATAGACTAGGGACAGAAGTTTACCCCTGTTTGTAATCTACTAAAATCCACATTGAAGAAAAACAGCTAACAGGTGTCTGTAAAACAGCTGGAGTAGACGAATGCCCTCAAGTCATAGCAAAAGCTATGGATTTTTCTGTGGATAAGGAACTTGGGGAAATTAGCCTACCTTGACTTAGGCAGAGTATGGCAGTCCATCCAACACTATCCACAGTTAGTGCAGGGCCCTGGAAGCAGGTGAGTCATTGGGGCAGTTTTTTCCAGTGGTTAGCATCACCACAATCCAGGTCTGTGCCCATCTGTCTTCCTTGGAGATCTTAGAGATGCCACTAGGACCTGGCACTTCTGTCTACCACAGGAAGCTCTTCCCATTAAACATTTTAGAAGCCATATTCAACAGATCTCTGAAAAATGTGAGGATCATTAAATATACCTAATTAAAAAAAACTTTATTTGCTTTTAGTTGTTTGCTTTAGGATGCTAATGTAACTAATTACATTAGTACTTAGCATAACTACAAGTATAGTTCTGAACACACTAAGGAATTTGATCATTTTTTTTCTCTCTCTTTTTTATTATTATTATTATTATTATTATTATTAATTCAAGTTAGGGAACAGGCTTGTTTCACATGTAATTCCCCTCTCCCTCCCCTCGAATTTGATCATTTTTAACATGACTAAATATTAACTTTCATGCCTTAAACATCTTAAATAGTTTACAATAAGTTAATAACTTTTGTAAGATTAGATTTGCATTTTTACCTCTGTCGGATTTAGCCTTAAAAAATAATTTTTGAATTGAAACTCTTTTAGTATCAAGTAAAACTTTAAATCATAAATATAGTCTATAGGGAGACTGGCAACTTCAGTTTCCTGGTTGTTTCATGGTGCACCATTTCAGAATATCACAGTTTCTTGTATGATTCAGTTTATCAAAGATTCTAAAGCTTAACCAATTAGCAAAGACAAGGAGGCCAGACACACTTTCTTAAGCCAGCATGAAAAGACTTTAGATAA